TGCGGGTGACGTCCGTGGTGCGGGTGATGTCCATGGTGCGGGTGACGTCCGTGGTGCGAGTGACGTCCATGGTGCGGGTGACGTCCGTGGTGTGAGTGACGTCCCTGATGCGGGTGCCGTCCGTGGTGCGGGTGCCGTCCGTGGTGCGGGTGCCGTCCATGGTGCAGGTGACGTCTGTGGTGCGGGTGCTGTCCGTGGTGCGGGTGACGTCCGTGGTGTGGGTGCCGTCAGTGGTGCAGGTGACGTCCGTGGTGCAGGTGACGTCCGTGGTGCAGGTGACGTCCGTGATGTGGGTGACGTCCGTGATGTGGGTGACGTCCGTGGTGCGAGTGATGTCCATGGTGCGGGTGCCGTCCGTGGTGTGGGTGCCGTCTGTGGTGCGGGTGACGTCCATGATGCGGGTGACGTCCGTGGTGCGAGTGACGTCCGTGGTGCGGGTGACGTCCATGGTGCAGGTGACGTCCGTGATGCGGGTGACGTCCGTGGTGTGGGTGACGTCTATGGTGCCAGTGACGTCCGTGGTGCGGGTGACGTCCGTGGTGCAGGTGACATCCATGGTGCGGGTGACGTCCATGGTGCCAGTGACGTCCATGGTGCGGGTGACGTCCGTGGTGCGGGTGACGTCCGTGGTGCGAGTGACGTCCGTGGTGCAGGTGACGTCCGTGGTGCAGGTGACGTCCGTGGTGCAGGTGACGTCCGTGATGTGGGTGACGTCCATGGTGCGGGTGACGTCCGTGGTGTGGGTGACGTCCGTGATGTGGGTGACGTCTATGGTGCGGGTGACGTCCGTGATGTGGGTGATGTCCGTGGTGCGGGTGACGTCCGTGGTGCGGGTGACGTCCGTGGTGCGAGTGACGTCCGTGGTGCGGGTGACGTCCGTGATGCAGGTGACGTCCGTGATGCGGGTGACGTCCATGGTGCGGGTGATGTCCGTGATGCGGTTGATGTCCGTGGTGCAGGTGACGTCCGTGGTGCCAGTGACGTCCGTGGTGCAGGTGACGTCCGTGGTGCGGGTGACGTCCGTGGTGCGGGTGATGTCCATGGTGCGAGTGACGTCCGTGGTGCGGGTGACGTCCGTGGTGCGGGTGACGTCCATGGTGCAGGTGACGTCCGTGGTGTGAGTGACGTCCATGGTGCGGGTGCCGTCCGTGGTGCAGGTGACGTCCGTGGTGCAGGTGATGTTATGAGCATTCCGTTAAATACGGTAATGACTAACATATTCTTATTACTATTACTTGTAACGCATAGGCGGAACAACTCCTGCCGTACTATCGTACATCGTACTCCCACAAGAGTATATCCTTACTTTGGTTAGTTCCGTCTAGGCGGGTGACGTCCATGATGCGGGTGACGTCCGTGGTGCGAGTGACGTCCGTGGTGCGGGTGACGTCCATGGTGCAGGTGACGTCCGTGATGCGGGTGACGTCCGTGGTGTGGGTGACGTCTATGGTGCCAGTGACGTCCGTGGTGCGGGTGACGTCCGTGGTGCAGGTGACATCCATGGTGCGGGTGACGTCCATGGTGCCAGTGACGTCCATGGTGCGGGTGACGTCCGTGGTGCGGGTGACGTCCGTGGTGCGAGTGACGTCCGTGGTGCAGGTGACGTCCGTGGTGCAGGTGACGTCCGTGGTGCAGGTGACGTCCGTGATGTGGGTGACGTCCATGGTGCGGGTGACGTCCGTGGTGTGGGTGACGTCCGTGATGTGGGTGACGTCTATGGTGCGGGTGACGTCCGTGATGTGGGTGATGTCCGTGGTGCGGGTGACGTCCGTGGTGCGGGTGACGTCCGTGGTGCGAGTGACGTCCGTGGTGCGGGTGACGTCCGTGATGCAGGTGACGTCCGTGATGCGGGTGACGTCCATGGTGCGGGTGATGTCCGTGATGCGGTTGATGTCCGTGGTGCAGGTGACGTCCGTGGTGCCAGTGACGTCCGTGGTGCAGGTGACGTCCGTGGTGCGGGTGACGTCCGTGGTGCGGGTGATGTCCATGGTGCGAGTGACGTCCGTGGTGCGGGTGACGTCCGTGGTGCGGGTGACGTCCATGGTGCAGGTGACGTCCGTGGTGCGAGTGACGTCCATGGTGCGGGTGACGTCCGTGGTGCAGGTGACGTCCGTGGTGCAGGTGACGTCCGTGATGTGGGTGACGTCCGTGATGTGGGTG